ACCCGCGGGCTGCCGCTGCCAAACACGGGGGAGAGAGGGAGGAAAGGAAGGAAGGTACCCGCCGCCCCCCAGTTCCCCACAGCCTCCCCAACACAGCCCGTACCTCAGACATGGCGACCCCCTCTGCACCACCGCGACCCCCCGGCGTCTGCCACGCCGCCCTCACCGCTCGGCCGCTTCACCCCTCGCCAGAGCGCTCGCTGGCCAATCCCAGCGCCACGGCCAACACGGCGGCCAATCGGCCCCTGCCGAGGGCGGGGAGAAGCCAGGCAAAGGGCCAATGCGAGGGCGGTGCGGGAGGGGCTGGCTTCGGGGGGGGCGCGGCGTTCGTCAACGAGGTGGGGGCTCGGGGGCGTGGCCGCCCAGAGCCCCGCCCAGCCCCGAGGAGGGAGGAGGGGGCGGAGACAGGACGCCTCGCAGCCAATCCCTCGGCGTGGTGGCGTGGTGTGAGGCGGGGCGAGGAGAGAGACCCGGAAGTGCCGGTGGGGGAGTCGGTAGTAAGGCTGAGGGGCGCTAACGGTCGGGGCCGGCGTGAGGGCTGAGGGGAGGGCGCTCGGCCTCGGGGGGGTGTGCGGGCTCCGCCGCGGGGCCTGGTACCGCTGTCGGCAGGCGGGAGCCGGGCAGGCCCGGGGGAGGTTCTTCCTCACAAGAGATGTTCATCGTCAGCCCGTCTGATCCGGGCAGCGCCCTGAGGCGAACTGCCATGTTGTCCCTGAGGAGGCGCCGGGTGGTACCTGCTCCCGGCCCTGGGTGTCTGTGCAGTAAATGTGAAAATCGGCGGTTACTAGTTGTGCTCCCAAATCTGTATGCCTACGGTGTTCTTCCACGCTGCTCAGGAGAAAGCAAATTGAACGCTGTCCCCTTTTCTTTACTCTGTGCTGTGCCCTCCCCTCCAGATCTCAAGCCCATGTGGAATAGCATCAAGAAAATATCCGTCTTTGCTGTTTAATATAAATCGTTATTTTCAGGTGCAGAGGAGTATGCATTTCTTGATTGGCAACTTGTGTTTGTGTATCACAGCTTATTTACAATGAAAATGGAATTAAAGCTCTGTGAATTATTAACCAAGGGGATGTAAAATTGCCTTGTGATCTGGAGGGTCTGTGTCCCTGTTCTGCAGAAAGTATTTGAAGAAAATATTGCTGGTTTACTTTGCCAGGACCAATATAGCAAAGACTGGGAGGTACCTGGATACCTGCATGATGGTGGGGCACTTAAATAATTTCCCCCCACAACAAAAAAGGCAAAAAAAAGCCCCCTACACCCAACCCACCTCCCCCAAAGCAATGAATGGGTGAGAGAATCCCTTGTGGGACTGGAAGTGGGGACTGAAATGGCTGCTAAGGGACAGGAGATGCAGAGGTCGTGCTGTGGCCGTGGCTGATGTTGCGGCACTTAGACTGCAGTCTTTGCTCATTGCTGCAGCAGCCACGGCAGTTTCGTGTGTGACCAGAGAGCAAAGTTGTTGAGGAATACCAGCACCCAAAATAGAGAAGGTTGTCGGTGTAGGAAATAGCTTGGTTTCCTGTGGAGAGAAAGAACCCAACGAAACAACACGTGGGCTTGTTTCAAGAGGGGTTTGGGTTGATAAGGTGATTCTGTTAAAGTGGTATAAGCCCTGTAGAGCCATTCTAAAGACTTACTATTATAAATTAAATTAAACCCCTTAATTATGTAGTATACCAGGAGAATTATTTGCATGTGTACGTGGGGGAGGTGAAAATGAGCGTTGTGTAACAGCTTAGGCATTTTTCAGGGTATTATGCTCGCTACTACATAAGGATATTAAAAAGGTTTTGGTTTTGTTCACGTTGGTACATTCTTCTAGAGCACAAGGTTACTCACCCGGCAGGTAAAGTCTTCAGTCACTTAAAACCCAGAGGACATTCTTGCATTTATCTGTAACATTTTTGTGTGTTTAGTAGGGAGTCTGGCGCTGTAGTACACAGCGCAGCTACAAATACTGGACTATTTGGTGTGCAGTATCAATAATATCCTAGGTAACCCTGTTTGTTTGTTTGTTTTGAGATCCTGTTACTGCTTCTGTAAAATAATAGAAGTTAAGTCCCGAGAGACACAATGCTATTGAATTTCTCACAATGTTTTAATCTTTGCGTGAGGCCTACGTGCACCTTGTTTTCTAGCTGTGCTCGTACACAGAGGAAAGGCAATAATTCCTGTCTTTAATGTTTTCCAGGTTATTCAGAATTAATTCTCATGTCAGCAGAAAACTCAACCATCACAGTCCGTCTTGTTCGCTCTTTCGAACACCGGAACTTCAGACCTGTGGTGTATCATGGAGTTAACTTGGACCAGACAGTAAAGCAGTTCATTACTTTTGTGCGGAAGGGTAAGGGGCGGTTGTCGTATTCATTCGCTTCAGTCCCAGTCTGTGCATCAGGAAGTGGAGGGGAGCAAATGAATGGGAATTCTGTGGCTTTGGCAGAGATGCCAGATTTGTATTTACATCCCCTGTGTACTCTCCTCCCTTGGATAAGAGGTCTGGAGTTAATCAGAGCTTCCATGGTCAGTGTGCCGTGCCTAAATTTGGGAAGACTGCTTCCCCTGCCCAAGTCCCCATTGTTTAGTCAAAAAGAGATGAGGGCATTGCTGCATTTGTCTCAGTGCCTCAGGCTCCTTGAGTGGTGCTGTCAGGCAGCTATTCATAAATTAACAGGAGTAAATTAATAGAATTTAGAGAGCCTTTGATCCTTAGGAACTATACCAATATGTGGAATGTGGGAACGCAAGTCTGTTTGCTATTTGTGAGAAGAGAGGATCTTGAAAAATTGTTTTTGACACTGCGAGGTCTCACTGTGCATGTTTGCTTCTGAGTTTCCGTCTCAGTTTTGAGCGTTGTGGTGCAGATTTACTCATCTATGAGTTTTATGTTTTAGAAGCCTGGTTGAAAGTGGCGGTGTATCTAAAAGTTAATTAATGTAGACCAGCCCACGCAGCGACTCAGTAGTTAGGGTGTTACCCTAATCTTGCAGGTGTATTTCTACACACCTAAATGGAGACATTCAAGAGGTGCAGAATAACATAATTTGATTTTTTTGCATGAAGTCAGCTTAAACAAGTCTCAGACTGTTATAGTTGATAACATTTGAGCAACTCCTAGGATATTGCCCTGGGCCTCACAGCTGTATTGTGTTTTCAGCAACTTCCGTGCTTCTGGACAGTGATAGGCATGGCAAGATCTTAGGATGCTTTTAGAAAACTACAAGCACTTTCAGAACATATGGTACAGCTGCTGTTATGAAGAATAAAATAAAAAACAGTGCTAAGAAACTTGCTTTTGATGTGTGCAGCGCTGTTACTTGAGACAAAGATACTGTCTTGAACAAGACTTTTTGGAACCTCATTCCACAGATGGATGGATAGTGCTGTCCTGGTCCAAAAGGAGACGTGTTCCTTCCTCTACTATAATCTGTTTCGAAGAGGGAGTTTGAGATAAATTATTAAACTACTGATGAAATTATGGTTTCAATTGCCTTGCTGCTGCGTACCCCACAAGTGGCTGGGCCTTCCAACGCCCTGGGTAAATCCCTGGGTGTCACTGGGAACACTGGCACCAGGGAGAGTGTTAGTGTTGCAGTTGCTTATGGGCTGTGTCCTGCATGTGGCTAAAGAGTTAATTTTCTACAGCTTGGCTTCTTTTTTCTGGCTGGTTCCCATGACTGTGTTTACTGAACGATTCAGTTATGAATGACAGTTGTCAGCTGTTTGTATAAGGTAGAGAGAGATGCTGTGCAAACCATTAACAGGTTGTTCCTGGCAGATTTCTGAAGGATCAGACTCCCGTGATCACATCCTAATTGCATTGACTCACTGTCCTCGTGGGTCGTTTTGTTCAGAGGGACTTCATGCTCAAGTGAAGTTAATCAGATATGGAGTAACTATAGAATCTGAGCCAAAGGTTGTGTTTTAGTGTTTGATGCTCAAGCAAGTCTCCTGTGTTGTGGATTTATTTTGATGTAAAAGATGTCCAGGATGCATGCATAAAATAATGGAAAATAAAATACTGGAAATAAAAAAAAAGACAACTTTGTTTTAACTTGGTGCTTTTATTTTAATAGATGTGCCTTCAAGGACAGGACTTCCTCCTCCTTTCAAAAATTACAAGTATGGTACGTGGGGTTTTTTCTTGTTTTAATTCCTGTAAAATGCAGACATAATATTTTATACCAGTTTCTGTACAATTTAGAAGACAACTGCTGTAGAATACTCATGCTGGTGGCAGTGCCTGCCTACATTGCAACTCTATCCAGCTCTTGCGGCTGGGGTTATGCCACTGGGATCACGTCCACAGAACTTGACCATTATTTTGAAGTTCAGTATCAGTCGTAGAATTAGGCTGCATACATTATTTGCTAATTGGTACTGATGGGTTTTGGTATTAATTTTTTATTACTTTTATAAGTGCCTGTTTTTACTCTAGTGAGCAGCTTGTGATCTCAAATGCTTTGAAATTGTAGTTCTCTGTGCTTATGTATTTCAGTATCTGTTTACTAACTGTGAAGTCAGAAAAGATGGTGAAGTCGGAGCTGAAGGCAGTAAATGGAAAATGCTTAAGACTTAAGTAATTTACACGATATAAGAGAAGCAGGGGAACTTTGCTCAAAGTAGATATGAAAGCTCTTAAATACAAGCTGATGGAATGAAAGAGCCTGGTGTGAAATTTAGGCTGACTTTATCCTCTAATGTAAAGCTATGTGTATATTTCCTTTTTGTGAAGATTGGTGTGAACATGTGCAATTGATCTGTTTGGGACAGAATATACTTTCAAAATAGACTAGATTACTTCCTTTCTTGGAATTTGTTAACTCGGATGTCCGTAACATATCTTTTGCTAAACTTGGCAATTCTGAAAGTTCCCTTGGAGTTTTGCTGCAAGTGATCTTCTGTCTCCCATGTTCTTGGAGCTGACAAATTCCTTCCTCTACAGTGATTCAAAGAATTGAATGAGGAGCATGTTTAATACATGTGAATGGCAATAGACCCTATTTGCCTGTTTAAAAAAAAAAAAAAAAAAGTATTTCATTCTGTGTTCTTGCTGATGGTGAAATTGCAAAATTAAAGCAGAAGGAGTTAGGGATTAAGATTTACAGTATGTCAGTGGCAAGGACTTGAACATTACTATTATTTTTAAGATACTACTTAAGGTCTTAAAATCTAGGTAACTGTAAGTTGAATTTGGAGGTGCCCTTCCTCCCCCTAATACCTGTGGCTTTGGATAGATGAGGGGGTCCTATGGAGGACTGCTGCTATCAGTTGTATTCCTGGTGCTGCCTATCCCTGTTGCGAGTTCTTTCATCACTCAGAGGATCAGTGTAGTTTTTCCCAAGGCATATGTTGTGGCTGAGCAACTGATTGTGCTGTGTAGGACTAAGCATAATGTGGGTGAAAACCACTGCAGAACTTTAAAACCTGTTACACCAGTTAAGTGGGCACCTACTTTTAGTGGGATGGTGCTAGCTGCATGGAAATTTTCACAGAGAAAAATCAAAGCCAAGTTCCTCACCTTCCCCTCAGGCTGTGAATGATCCAGGTTCATGTTTTCGGCATCTCTTGTGTGCTCTGCTGTCTTTCTTGTATTTTCGTGATAAAAGTGCAGTGAGACTTCTGCATGAATAGTGCTGGTGAGAGTCAGATTTTTTGTTCTGCTTTGTTTGGCAGTGCCAGGAATCTCAGTTGGACCTGGCTGTCTCTTACCTTGTGCCTATTGCAGCTGCCTTCTCTCCAGAATCCGGCACCACTTTGTTCTCTCGACATCATATATAATGCCATCACATTTTTCCTCTTGGCTTGGTGCTCTAACTCACATCTCAAAGCTTAGGACTTTCATTTTCTCTTCATTCCTTTGTACACATCATTCTTGTCCTTTGTCTAGAACTCTTCGCAGTCACTCTTCTCCTACCTGATCATTGCCATGTTTTCACCGATGATGGCAGCCTGGGTGCCAACTTGTCTCATAAGCTGCTTCTCAATTTATTTTTTTTTCCCCATGAATGTGGAGCAATATGGTAGATACTTCACAGAATCAGACTTAGAAAAGTGATTTCTTACCTGTTGTCACAGGATATCTATTACCAGAAAAGGAGAGGTAAAAATCCGGGAATATGATTGAATGGGCCTAAATTGGGATGATACAGCAAAGGCAATTGAGAGGACATAAGGCTTTTTAGCTAGGATGCAGAGAGACTGTAGTTTCATCTCTGAAACAGAGTTATGGAAGCCGTTTAATAGCTCAGATAAAGACACAGTAAACTGCTGGATGCCAGTGGTGGAGTTGTGAAGAAGTAAAATTGAGACAATAGTTCAGAGAATGACTGGGCAAAGACTAGAGACAAAGTGACAAAGTGGATGGAGAAGCTTAAAACGAACAGGCAGAGGCTGGATTGTATTTGCTGTGGTGGAAAGGTTTCATGATTGCAATATATTTTTGCTGGGATTGCTTGGTCTTTTTTCAATTATTCTACGCAAGATGGATCCGAGAACTGCAATTTAATATGTGTCTTGCTTCTAATACTGCAATTAGTACAGCATGCTAAGACTGCATTTTCAGTAACCCCTGCAGTGGGGTAGTTTTCAAAACAGAGTAGTTTTGATCTTCTGTAATGTTGTAAATAAAATGTTCAAAATGGGCCAGAGTGGTATGGAAGCAAACTTTTGAATGGGAACGTGACCTCTGTTATTCTGAACATCTGAATACTTGCTCTCAGTAGTTTGAAAGTCGTCGTTTTAGCCTATATTTAACTTGATGGCATCCTTCTCTTACCAGACTATTTCAACACGTAGTGTTCAGTTAATGCACAAAACCAAACTAGAACAGAAAATGACCAGGGAAACAGAACTGGTTTTTGTGTCTTTGCTGGGAAGGGACTGATATGTTATTCTGAATTTGTTCAAACACAAAGGCTTTGGAGTTTGTTTTTTTGTTTTTTTTGTTTTTTTTTTTTAGTGCTGCGTGGGCATCTTCTGACTTCCGTTCCCTCTGGATCTTTGCACTCATCTGCTTGCTTTAGTGACCATATTATTTTCTCCAGTTTTTTCCCTTCTGTTAACAAAGCCCTGCCCACATTGCCAGAGGAAAGTGATATTTCTTTTTTTGTATAGCATAATTTCTTAAAGTGCTACACTGCGCAAATGTGTCAGAGATAAATATTACTGAAGAGGGTGTAGCATTAAAAAGAGGAGAGGCTGTACGTGTTCATGGAAAAGGGACTTGCTTAACAAAATTTCTACATGCGTGCTTTCTTTTTTTTTTTTTTTTTTGGGAAGGGACTGATATGTTATTCTGAATTTGTTCAAACACAAAGGCTTTGGAGTTTGTTTTTTTGTTTTTTTTGTTTTTTTTTTTTAGTGCTGCGTGGGCATCTTCTGACTTCCGTTCCCTCTGGATCTTTGCACTCATCTGCTTGCTTTAGTGACCATATTATTTTCTCCAGTTTTTTCCCTTCTGTTAACAAAGCCCTGCCCACATTGCCAGAGGAAAGTGATATTTCTTTTTTTGTATAGCATAATTTCTTAAAGTGCTACACTGCGCAAATGTGTCAGAGATAAATATTACTGAAGAGGGTGTAGCATTAAAAAGAGGAGAGGCTGTACGTGTTCATGGAAAAGGGACTTGCTTAACAAAATTTCTACATGCGTGCTTTCTTCATGAGAAGGAAAATTTCAAGGAATGATCTGAAGTGGTCAGGTTACTGTATCTTAATCACTTGCTGCCTATCAACTTAACTGTAGTAGTTGACAGTGCATAAATGCTGTTCGTCCTGCCCCAATTGCATGTGTAAAACCTGTTAGGCTAAAACACCCTAACTGGGATTTAAATTGATGTGTTTTGACTGGCAATTGGGATGGTCGTTAGTTATTGTAATTCAGCCAGCAGACAGAAGCCCAATAGGATGTGGTACCTTAATGTTGGATTGACTGGCTTAAAACTGTGGCTGCAAGACTGGGAAATTAAAATGTTTTCTCCTCTTTTAGACTGAATACACAAAATTGTTGTTGTTAATAAAAGATTTTGAACCTCACCCCTTTGTTTGTCTCTCCTTCCCCAAGTACAGCTTTTGGTGTTACCTGCCTATTAAGCCTTATTTTAGGAAAACATTGTATTTTCTTTCAGATACAATGAAGATTATTCACCAAGCACACAAATCTAAGGTATGATTATTAGCTGTATTCTTCCCCTTTTACATGCTTTAATGCAGGCGGATCTCTGCACCGTCAAACAAGACTCGGGCAGAGACAGTCAGTAAATTCTTCTTCTTATCTTTGTATTCTGGTTCTGTGCTTTGTAGACTGGTGAACTTGTAGTGAGTTTGGAAGATGATGACAAACTGATTTTGAAAGAAGACAGTACGCTGAAAGCAGCTGGAGTAGGTAGGAGTACATTGGTATTGACTGAAGGTGCTGTTCATTGTGGTTGTCATTAAACTGATAACTGGCTGATTATGTTTGGATAGCCTGCTGAAAAGTAAATGCTATTCCTGATGCTCTTTATACTACTTGATAATTATTCAGGGAAGAAGGGGGGATAATGTGCATTCAAATCATTGGACTGAGGGCAGCAGGTATCTGCACTCCAAATGTTCAGAATGCAAATTGTGATTTTTAGAGGGTATGCTTATAATTCTGCTGAGAGTAATTTTAAATGATTGACAGATAGGTTATTAGTACCATGTCTGCTTAGTCTTATCAGTAACATTTAAACTGATGTTTTGGTTAGAAATGTAAGTAGTGGAACCAGCGTGGAATAATGAAATAAGACTAGATTTGTTTAATGTGCAGCATACAGTGCTTGATAGGTAGATTGCTAAGGAAAGCTCAAGCAGTTATCATTTAGAGAATGTGCTGAACATAGCAAAGCGTTGAAACTTGACCTGATTTCTCACATTTTGACAGGGGACTACATATAGGGCATGTCTTTTGGTAATAATGTAAAGAAATGTCTGTCATGATAAAATTGATGGTCCCTGGATGTCCTTTGGGCTTCTCATAAATGTGGCGGAATGACTTTGTGGCAGCAGGGTACTTAAGGGATGTAGTTGCATTCCACCTTGATATGGACATTCGCTCATTTGAATCTGATTTGCCTAGCTGGAACATATAACTGCCTGCGCTCTAAGTGCAGGGGTGTTGCACAGAAAGCTCCCTCCTGTTCCTGATACCCTCTGATTGCTCCTCAGCTAGTGAATGGGATTTCTTTCCCATAGGTTTCTTGGCTCTTTTGTTTCCTGCCATTTACTTTCTGGTTTTAGGTGAGTTGGGATGTCTCGTTAATGTTTTTCTCTGGTGTGCACTGCAACTGGCCTCAGTATACCTTTCCTAAGGGTCTTTGGGTGTTCCTATAATACGAATGATAGTTATTCACTGGCTGTTTGTACTAAACCAGGTCTTTTTATCTGGAGAGAAAAAAAAAGGTTCCTCAGGAAGGAGGATTACTGGCATTCAGGTCTTACAGATTTGTAATTTAGTTAGCAGAAGATTCATTTAAGCATGATTTTTATCTACCTAAGGCATAAGAGGCAATGCAGTTCAGGAGAGGGACTGATGACAGTGCCAAATGTTGAATTAGAGACAACATTGTCCAGAGCTGCCTTCTTTCAAAAAGGCATTGGTAAATATTTGTATAAATTATCCATCTTTGAAACTAGGTTTGTAGCTACAGCAGTGAAACAGTTGGATGCAATCTTGAAAAAGGTGTCAAAACATCAGAGTAAATATTACAGTGAAAGGAAATCAGAATAGACTGGCCTCTTCTGTGTCTCTGTACAAAGAAAGGGGTGGCTTATTCAGGGCAGAAAACAATTTACAGCTGCTTTTTATTTTTTTCAGAATAACAGCAATTAGTCATTAGTATTTTGTGGGTATTTGTGATAGAAAAGAAAAAAACTTGCTTCGTAAAATGCAGCATGCCATTATACCATTTTGAATTTTGATATGTTCCAGCATATCTTGATAGGAAAATTAGGTAAGTTAGGAGTGGGGTCTTTGTAGTAAAATCTTGAAGAAGTCCTCCTTCTTCAACAAGAAGTGGAAAAGAGTAAACGAAGGAAGTGAAGTATGATACCATATACCACTAGTCCTCATTTTGTACAGTTTAAATCAGTAAGAAGATTTGAAACCTCCTATTGACATATTATGTTTTTCCAGTCTGGACAAGATTTACTAGACTAGAACAGAGAATTGCCATTAGAAAATCTGGGAAATTCTGAGACATGCAGAACATTTTTTCTGAGCTGCAGTTGATTGCCCTTGGCACTTTACAGGGTTGGGCTAGAGAGTTATAAATTATGAGGACATCAGATAAGTATCCTCAGGAAAGCCTCTGTGGTAGTGATTATTATTACAGCTATTACCTAGTCAGGAAAGTTAATGCGTGCTTATTTTTTTTTTTTTTAAGAGCAGGGTGTATGTTAATAAAGTGTTCAGTATTCATTGCAAACAGTCTTGTTTGTTTTCTAGCTGAGATTCTAAAACCCCTTCTGCTCTTTTTTTTTTTCTTTTTTACAAGACAGGCAGACTTCATTAACTTCAGGTTTAATTTAAAAAACGAATGTGGAACTTACTGGCTCAGCACCTTAAAGAATTCCATGTTTAATAATTGTGAAGGCTTTCCATCAGATCTGTCTCTGTTCTGAATTAGTAATGTTGCTGACTTATTGTTTTAGAAGGGGAAGTCCTTGACCTACTGGGTTGAAAGAATTGTGACTGCTCTGAACCTTTGTGGGTCCTTTAGCTCTGCCATATCCCCTGTGAATAATTAGAGGTATTTGAAGGTATTGCTGGAGAAGCCAATTTGTGTCTTTCACTTTGCATATTGTTGAAGCCTCATGAATTAATCATCAGCAGGGCAAAAAATTAACTTCTTCAGACACATATTTTGATGGGTCATGAGGGAGAATGTAAAGTGATCTGTAAAATATTCTACTGATCCTCTAAGTATTAAATTATTGTACCTACAGGCTAATTTAATGGAAAAAATAGTTTCTTTTTCCCTTTCCTAACAGAAAAATGCACAAAAAAAGAGAAAATCATGCTTCATTATTTTTCTAGCATTTGAAGGTGTTAGAAATGCAATCACTTAATTTGCTGAATGCTTATACAAACAATTCTGAAGGCTGTGTTTAAACAAATCTTGAGGGGTCTTGTGTACATATTTACTTCCATTTTTTTTAACAAGGTTAAACAACATCTTTAATACTGGAACCTTTTTTTGTAAAAACATGGGGGAGGGGGGGAAAGAAGCATGTGGTGATTTATAATTGTCTTTGACCAAAAAGTTGCCAATTGTCTTCTAAGATTCTAAATAGCTGGCTGTTGGGTGGTTCATTTACTGGTGTGCTAAATATTTAATTTTTTATTCGTTCTAGCAAATGAGACTGAATTAGCATTCTTCTGTGAGGAAGATTACAGAAACTACAAAGCTAATCCTGTTTCGGCCTGGTGAAGATCCCAAGAGATTGTTTTGTTTTCCCATACCTGTTGTAAATTTTCCTTATTCTGCTTAATGAGATTTTTCTTAAAGATCAATAAATCCTAGAGGATTGCTTTGCAAACAGTGCAATTCCTATAGAAATTAATTTCTGTCAATATGCTAAGACTGAGAGAAGTAAAACTGCGGGACATAAAAGACTTTTTTTCCTTGCATTTCTTTTTCCTTTGCTTGCCTCTTACGATGCAGGCAGTGCAATCTCTGACCTGTGACACGCATTCTTGGTGTGATCCTACAGCAGACTACCTACATACGGAGATTATACAATGCACAGTAAGATCCCATCACAGTACTAACTTCTAATGAAAATGGAAACGTTTTATGACCAAATCACTGGGTATTTTAGAGAGCTTGAGAGGAGAATCTCTCTGTTTCAAGTCATAGCTTTACTTCTCTCATTTTATGTTTGGTCTCTTTTGTTGAAATGGTGCAGACTGGCAAGTGTTTCAGGCTCCTCACTGGTGAATGCTTTCCTTTATACTCTCTTCCAGCCCTCTTCAGCATGCTGAAAGGGACAAATGACTCTTGGGAGGCTTTTGTGTTCAAGGACCAGCTCACCTGTTTCTAGCTTTACTTCATGGAGACGCCTTCATGTGCGAGGTAGCAACCTGAGTTCTGCCACGACATCAGTGTGCATAAGTAGGAATCAGGCATTTTTCCAAACAGAGTGAAGCGCATGGTTTTGGTTTTAAGAACAAAACCTGAATGATTGCATTCTTGCGAGGAGAGGCCCAGTCTGCAAGCCACATGTCTTCAAGACTGGAATTGATTCTTTCTGGCTTTCCAACTCTGTTGCTATATATTAGTTCTTGGTAATTCCAGGCTTTCCTACTACATTGACCAAATCAAGAATAAGAAAAAATAATCATGCATCCAATAAAGTACCTTTAGATAGACACTGCTTATGAAACTGCTTTTAGGGGTTACCAAGATGGGACACTGTGCTTTTAAGCCTCTCTCCACTGAAATAGAAGTGATGCTGGCTCTCTGCCTTAGCAGGCTTTTTGGGCATAGGCTCTGCTAAATCAAATGAGACCTCAGGTGCAATTGCTTTAGACCCACTCATCTACCCTCAGCTCTGGGTGAGAGATGACAACACCATTTCCACTAGAGACTTTCCAGAGAAGTAAGCTTACCGTTTCCTAGAGCTTTGATTTTTTTTTTTTTTTGTTGTTGTTGTCATGGGATAGTGAAAGCAGATGTGTGATTTCCAAAGTATCTAAAATTAAAGTTCTCTTTACTTTAGATGTAGGGCCAAAGAAACCTCTATGCATTGTTCCCACCTCATTTTCTTCATCCTTCCTGACAACTCTTTGGTTTAAGCTGGTTTCGGTAGCTGGTGTTACTCACCAACAGCTTTGCTTCAAACAGAGTTTTATTCTCTTGTGAACGTAGTCTACTGCTTTGTCATATGCAGTTAAAAGGGTGGTTGTATCTTTATCTTGTAAGGAGGAGTCCTGTGGCACTGAAGTCACCTGTGTTCTCTTGGGATTTAGATGCTGTTATGCATCCTCTGATGAATTTGTGAGGAGAACTTACCACTTTCCTCCTCTTTCTGTCCAGGCCGCCTTTCTGTTGCTGGTACCTGCTCCCCAAACATGATTCCTCCTGTTCTGGGGATTTGAATTTGTTCTCCAGCCCTTTCAGACAGATTTGGATTGTTTTTGTGATCTCTTTTCTCTAAGGCATTTGTGTTTGAAAGAGTCACCAAATTTTAACGAATGTCCTTTCTGGGCTAGTACAGTTACAAATGTTCAGTGCCACATTGAGTGTGGCACAGTGCAGGAGCAATTCTGCAGCATCAATGAGAAAATGGTAAAAGTTTTAATGCAGATATTCAAGGATGATGTGTCTGGCACTCCACATTAGCTTCTCTTTCCAAGGGAAGAGTTAAACTACTGCTTTGTGAGCTCTGTTCGCTCTGGCAATGGCACTTCATTGGCTCCTTTCTGCAGCAGCACAGTAGAGCCTTTTGTAATGCTCTCAATGACCACACTTCTAAACTGGATTCTTCCTGAAGTGTTTTTCTACTGTGTTTTTTTTTCATTGGACGTTTAATAATGGTTCTTTCAAATAAACCCCACAAAACCGTAGATACTAACGGAGAACTTGTTAAGATAGATGCTGTTCCAACGTTTTTCGGTGGGATGTGGTATAGCCTTGTATCAAAGTAGGTTTGATTCCAGGGTTGTTGAGTACTGAATGAAATCTGTAAACACTGGCTAATAAATTACTAAAGTCTGAGATGTCTTTGCCCATGTTATTATGAAATCTTCTTTCTATTGAAGGAAACCACCTACAGAGTTGGTACCATGGTTTGTTACCCTGGCAGAAGTCATGAACTGCATCAGTTTACAATTACTGTTAGCCAAAGGTGGCTTCTCCATAATGTGTAATTGGCTTCTCCGTTTACGTGGGGTAAATCATATAGCTTTGCTAGTGTTCTTAGACACACAGGGGTTAATAAGAATTCATCTTTCAGTATGATGTCCGTGGAGCCTTTCACTAGCCTTTTTTTTTTTTTTTTTAAAGAAAAAGAACAGCATCCAGAGAGGACGCTGAAATACGATGCAACTTTTCCTGGGTTATTGCACTGTAGCAGGGAAAGGCAGTCAAACTGGAAGCCGGCAGGGTGTGTGGGGCTTGGGTGTTTCTTGGAGAAAGAAAATCGCTTCAGAGAGACTGAAGTTTTTGTTAGGAGGCGTGGAAGAACAGCTACTAAAGGAGAAGAGAGGAAATTAGGAAAGGAATTGCCATGAAGAGGAAGAAGAGGTAACAGTGTAACAGAAAAAGCACACAAAATCTTGACTGTACAACACTCTTGGCACAGAAATCCTGGAGTAGTGCTGCTTTTTATACCACTAAAGGTATGAAAATGGTGCATTTTAATAATTTTTGGAATGGAACTCATAAACTGCTGGAATAGGCATCTTGTTTTTTCTCACTCTGTCATGTTATATTTTCTGCATGCAGCAGTTTTTGTGTATTTTTCTGTCCGGAGATAGTTATGTTGCCTCTTGAAGAAGCAAGAGCTAAGAAAATTGCTGACATGGGTAGACGAGTTAAATGTTGACAGTTACCAATGGCATAAAGAAGTCCTCAAAGATCTGATATGCACCACTGTTAAAGCTGGGGAGCTGCTTTATCAGATGTAAACATTCTGGCTTAGAGGTGATCCGGAGAGAAGTTGTAAGCTGTAGTGTTTCTCTTTCACTCCCTGGGAGTATTCAGCACATCCCCTGACAGATCATTTACTTAAAACCGAGCTTGCAAGTAAGAATCCAAGAGTTACCACAGCCATGACAGGACATCCACGGGTCCCATCCTTGAAAGCTAATAGCCACAGAAATCCTGAGTGTCCAGAGGTCAAGAGTGAGAAAACAGAACATGCGACACTTGTTCTTGGTCTCATGTGACTGATAGGATCCTGGCTTCAGAGGAACTTCAGCCGGCTGGAGGCGTTGCAAATGCTTAAGGCAAGGGCACACTTTTGCTTATTGAACAGTTTGGACTGAGCTCGGTCTTGCTGGTTGGCACCCGATCCTCCTTCCCTGGCTTCTTTTTCGAAGTACTACTTGGCACAGATTTGCAAATGATTAATGAACCAGGCAGTGATGCCCAGAAGACAATTTTACTACTTTTCATATTATTAGGACATTGACTTTTTCCTACTGCCTACTTTCCTATTGAGTTAGAGAAACAGGCACACCTTTGCGTGTTTTCCCTGCCACTTCCCTTTGCTTCTTGCTGCCACCTCTGCTGATTTGCAGTGCTTTAATCGTTAGGTTTACACCTCATCTGATATACAACAGCAGCACTTCCCGTGGCAGTGAATGTACAGGTTTTTTGTATTCATAAAGAAATACGCTTTGAAATAAAGAGGAGACCTTTTCTACACTGTTGCTAATAGTGCACAACAAAGGATCCTTTCTTGCTTTACAGGAGGACTTGCATAGGACAGCACTGTCCACTGGGCGGTGGAAACAAAAATGTTTTTATCATAATGCTTTGTATCTTGGAAGGCAACGAGAGAAGTTACATCGGGAATGCAAAAAATATGCAGTGAAAAGCCAAGACCTAGTGCCATAAACTGTCTTTGTCTGCAGAGAAAGCCACCAGATGTCAGCACAGCCTGTTCTTTCATTCTCCAGAACCTGTGTAAGCCAAGAAATATGTAATGTTTATGAAAAGTGCTTATCCGTGAATTGGTTTAGCCTGCAAAGTCTGTACTAGGGTTCTGGTGATGAAAGCTGAATCCTTCCTTGCAGAAAATATTTCTTTTTATATTAAAATCAAAAAGCGGCAAATTGAACTGGTATCGGTGCTTAAATTCCTCTTGTTAGAGAGCATCCTTTGTGGAGCCAGTTCCAGCGTATCTAAATCTTTGCACACTGTGAGGAAGCATTTGCAGAACATTCATTTGAAGAATTGTCTGGAAAAGATCAGTGTTAATTTGCTGAGGTTTTGTAAAGTAGACTTTAAGTATGCCTATTTTTTTTTAAACACAAGGAAAACCACCCAGAACAGACACACATGCAAAGCAGAGCAAAACATCTTCAGCAACACAGCTTAAACACACAACAAATGTATCCTCCATGCCTCTGACCCTAAGCCCCTACTATTTCTTCCTTGTAGTGCAAGGGCTGAGGAGAACCTGGCACCGTGTTCTCCGGGCCACGCTTTCTGAGCTGCGATGAGCTGAGATGGGATGTGAGTTTCAGAGCCCAAACCCAAGCACTGTGCACAGCTTTATGCTGTCAGTGATTGAAGTGTGCATAGATGCTGCCTGGTTAAAAGGGTAAATTTGGATTGTTGCACAGGGACAAGGTGCGACAGAGCTTTCTGCCGAGATTCCTGTCGCTTTTCTTGCAGCAGCTTGCAGACGCCAGGGAGACTATCGAAGAGAGGGAAGTTAAGTGGCAGGTAGAGCCTGGGTGACCTAAATTCTTCCTTCTTTCTGTTTTGGGCTGCTGCTTTAGTTCCTTTCTTCTAGCCTCGTAGCACTGGTGTCATGCTAGGGGTTTACCACAGCTTGCTGTGTATGAGAACTGCTTATTGATTCGAAGCTATCGCTATAACCCTCAACAACCGTTCACAGTCTGGAGGTGATGCATGGGA